AGGGCCTCCAAATCCTCATATTCAGTTGCCACTAAGAGTGGTGTCGCACCTATGTCGTCTTGAATATTCGCTTGGTCGTACCCATACCTATCCAGTAAAATCTTCATACTATCTAGCCTTTGTCCCTTCGTCGCTGCCATCAATGGAGTCCACCCATCCACATCTTTTATTTCGACATTCGCCCCTTTTTCGAGTAAAATTTTCATAGTTTCGCTATGTCCCTCCCAGGCAGAGCGGTGTAATGCCGTCATGCCCCATTTTCCAAGAACATTAACATTAACATTGTATGAGAGGAATAGCTCCACCGTCTCTGAATGATCATGGCTGGCGGCTATGTGAATGGGCATATCTCCATAGTCATCGGTCGCTAGGGCGTTAGCCCTTGATTCTAGAAGGAACCTCACGACTTCTATATGCCCATTCAAAGAAGCCCAATGTAAGGGAGACCACCCGTCATAGTCTTCTGCTTGAATATCAGCTTCGTGATCCAGAAGCAATCTAACCATCTGATAATTGCCCGTCTCACAGGCTACATGCAATGGCTGGTATTTCATGTAATCCTGCTCTGAAACAGACGCTCCTGCACTAAGAAGAGATTCGGCTGCCCATGCAAGACCTTGGCGAACTGCAACATGCAAGACGGTTTCGTCATTGGAATCATTCGTGTGATAGTTGATCTGACCCCATGGAAGCCGGCCCAACCTCTGATCGAACAGCCTCTTGTTAGCATCAAGCCTGTTTGGGGAATTATCCAGTCCCTCAAGAAAAGATTTAAGATCCAAGATCTGTTCCATTATCGTATTACCCGCTTCACCATCGTTAGCGGCCATGGTTGAATTTGTGACTGTTAGAGGCGTAGACCGTAAGATGACTTCAAGATAAGCTTCAGAAAATTATGCTGTATTCCTATCCAAAAGCTGCTTAAAGGTTACGAAAAGGAATGATGCGGCAATACTTGGGTCTGTATGATAAAACAGTCGAGTAACGATGCGCAATTGTGATCTCTTATAAAGCCAGCTAGAGGCTCTGGTTGACGTGAGGCTCGTATCTTCCGTTTCGACTTACTAGATACTACTAATCTTACCCACACCTTTTCTAGAAGAAGTAAAGTGATAGCTTCATCGGCCACTATGCAGGAGCTAAGATGCAACCCTTGATATTAGTTGGCTACCTTTATAATGATCCTTGGAAATGGCCGACACGATTGTATGGCTGCATACCAACTTAGGTAAGTACTTCGTGCCTGAGATCACTTGTGCAAGTTCAGACTATTGCATCCTACGTGGCTTCCCCCCTCGCCTTGACTGGAAATGCAGCCAGAGATCAGCCCTGTAATGCCATCGGTTCGATTCGTAAGCGACGTGGCATACCTGGAGGGTATTTGGATTGTCTGGGTTGCGGAGTGGCTACCAACACGGAGGCATCTTTCCTGAAAGTCATTGCTGCGCGCGACGGTTTCAATGGCCATGCATGGCTGAGGTAATAAGACCAGGATAATATCTCGCAGCCTTGTCTTGTCGTACCTAAATAAGTAGAGATTACCTCCGCGTTCAGCTAGGCTCGCCATCGTAATATTACGTTTGATCCTATCGCCGATTTTCTTAACCTTCTACGGACCAATAACTCAAGAGCCAGCCAGCTACAAACCACCAATGCCGCTCAAGCAGAATAGCAAGTTTTGCCGAGGTCCCCGGGAGGTCCCCTTGCCTGCCTGCCTAGGTACCTACCTGGGTTGTAGTATCGCAACGTTATATGTAGGCTCTGGATGCTAGAAAGCGAGAGCGGCATTGGGAGTGAAGCAAGGGTAGTAAGAGCCTCATTCCAAATATTAACTTGATTTGTAATTCGGACAGTAAAATAATAAATTCGTCTTACGAAGTATAAGGCTGAGATAAGTGGATAATGTGTGGTTATGGTATACCTGGTATACCTATCTTATCGATAAAATAGCATCATGCTATTAAACATATATATGCGCTAAAAGAAATAACGTCGAATACTCCACTAAAAAGTCTCGGACGATTCTGTCGCTTTTCACTGCTTCAATATTCTTGACCACACATACAGAATCACATCACCATGGCTGACGGCGGCTTACTTTTAAATTTCGACCTCGGCGATGCGCCGCTCAAGAAGCAGGTCAAGTTCACAGGTGGCCGATGGAGGGATCGTGTCCATGCTCAACGAAGCGCAAAGAAGAATCGCGATGGGTCTTTAGATGGACCTACGAGCTCAGCCAATTCCACCCCGCTGTCCAACGACCGACGAGATTTTCGCCAATTTCACGACCAGAACGAAAGGCCAGTGAAGCGCCAGAAGACATTTGACCACCAGAATGGGCAATTAGATAATACATTTAGTACGGGCACTAGGTCGGGCAGCGCATCTAACAAACCTGGCGGCATCACATCCAGTTTATTCACATCTAACCCAACACCCACAACAGTCTTCGAGGATCCAGTTGAGGATGCCGAACCTGCAAAGCCATCCAATGCCCCATTATCCGACGAGGCCGAAAACTTCCGCGCTCTCGGCTTGTCGCCGCGCATTGCCCAGCACCTGTCGTCAAAGCTGGAGATGAAGGCCCCGACTTCAATACAAAAAAATAGCATCCCACCGTTAATAAAGGACGATAACGATGCTTTCTTGCAGGCTGAGACAGGTTCAGGAAAGACTTTAGCTTATCTACTTCCTATTATACAGCGAATTATGAACCTGAGTCACCATGACGACGGCTCTACCACTGGAACCCGTATACATCGCGATTCAGGCCTATTTGCTCTTGTCTTAGCACCGACAAGGGAGCTGTGCAAGCAAATAGCTACCGTTTTGGAGAAAGTTTTACGTTGCGCTCCCTGGATTGTAAGCACTACCGTGATAGGTGGAGAGAGTAAGAAATCTGAAAAGGCTCGCTTGAGGAAGGGCGTCAACATATTGATCGCTACTCCTGGTCGTCTCGTTGATCATCTGGACAATACTAAGGTGCTCGACGTTGGCACTGTAAGATGGCTTATCCTTGATGAAGGCGACAGGTTGATGGAGATGGGGTTCGAGGAAGAGCTGAAGAGTATTGTGGGAAAGATTCGAAAAGAAGAATTAAAAAAGTCTAATAAAGAGGGTGTGTCCCTCGCCGCCCTACCGCAACGTCGTGTTACCGTTCTCTGTTCGGCAACGATGAAGATGAACGTGCAAAAGCTGGGCGAGATTAGTTTACAAGACGCCATCCACATCACAGCTTCTAAGTCCGAGGACGAGAACAATACCGTGGCTGCGGCCAACGACGCTACCTTCAGTGCACCATCTCAACTCAAGCAATCATATGCGGTTGTTCCAGCTAAACTGCGGTTGGTAACACTGATAGCATTACTCAAATCAACATTCGCCCGCAAAGGGTCAGTTATGAAAGCCATTGTTTTCATATCTTGCGCCGACTCGGTCGATTTCCACTTCGACTTACTCCGCTCTGCACAATCCCAACCCTCATCCGACGAATCACCCCTTACAAAAGATACTGTTGCTGGTGCTGCCTATATCACATCGCCGGCAAACCCTGATATAACTCTTCTAAAGCTTCATGGCTCCCTCCAGCAACCTGTTCGCACGTCCACGCTTGCCGCCTTCCACAATTCGCAAAATCCTTGCGTCCTCATCACCACCGACATCGCATCGCGTGGTCTTGATGTGCCCGCTGTGGATCTTGTCATCGAGTATGATCCAGCCTTCAGCGTCGAAGACCACGTCCATCGCATCGGTCGAACCGCGCGAGCGGGCCGACCCGGTAAAGCGACACTCTTCCTCCAACCAGGCTGCGAGGAGGGCTACGTCGAACTTCTCAAATCCGCCTCGGCTCTCGTGCCCCAATCTTACGAATCAACTCTGCAGAAGGGCTTCGTAACACCCATATCCCTACCTAGACCAGACCACACCTCCGAGCCACAGACTCTAGTCTCAGACCGCCAGACTCCCAACTCCCGCGCTGAAGCCCTCCAACTACACATAGAACAACGCCTCCTAGCCTCCGCAAAAGAAGGCAGCAACTCGAAGCTTCTAGACGCGGCGCGCCAGGCCTTCCGCTCGCATATTCGCGCGTACGCGACGCATGTGCGCGACGAGCGCGGATACTTCGACATCACGCAGTTGCACCTAGGCCACACGGCCAAGAGCTTCGGTTTGCGCGAGGCGCCGGGCGGGATTGGAGGCGGGCCGTCCAGACGCACGATTAAGCCGGGTCAGCAGAAGAAGACTGGTGCTGGTGGGCAGAAGAAGGGTGATGATGGTGATGGGGAGGATGGAGCGAGCGCTGGGGCGGTGGATGAGGATGCGGCGAGGAGGATGAGGATGAAGATGAAGCAGGTTATGAGTGCGGCTGGGGAGTTTAATATTGGGTGAGGCGGTTTTCTGGAAGGGGTTGTGGTAGGGGTAGGGGGTTGATTATATTGTCCAGATGAAATTCATTGCGAAGGTATAGACAAAAGAGTTACGAGCGCATAAGTGTTGGCTGCAATCATTATTTATTATTTATCTTGGGAATACTTGATACGGACGCTTGAAGAGCATTGTTGGCGTGGTTAGTATAACACGGATTAGTTCGTATAAAACATCACTACCATTTCTCATATGTATGTTGCTATCGATATATTCACTGATTGAGCTATTACCTGACGATGAAATCAATTATGTAATAGAAAAAATGACTTGGCTAATATGGGATACGAAGCTATTCTCATGATATACATACACAGTAAGGCTTTTACCCCTATGTCAAGTACTGTACTATTTTGTTCTCATAGCTCGGATTTGTGATAACCAATATGTGATTTAGCATGTTACAGGTCAATAGGGGATGCGAGGGCGTGAGTAGTGAAAGGTGTTACTTATACCCCTTTCTTCATCGTATAACTACTTCGTAGAGCGGCCAAAGAATATAAAGACGAATCAGTCAAGCAGCTCCCATCATTAAAATACCAAACAATACACAGCATAATTCAAACACGCATTCATTAGAACGAACTTCCATGGTATTAGTTCTATCATACAGGGCAGGATTACCATGCCATATCATACCATACCACGCCGTGTTACTCCCTATGAATTCATCATGAATCATATACCACTATACCAAAATATGTACGTGGTAGTAACACAAGCATATGAATCCATATGCCATGCCATGCCATTAACCGACCGAGATCCCAACCGTAAACGTATGTATCTCGAGGGCTAAACCTGCCCAAACAAAACCCCAGGATCCTTCTCTCCTAGATCCCTCGACTCAACACTTGTATGGAAGTTTCGTCGTCCATGGTATATGTAAAGTGGAGATTTGTCTATAATAAAACCGACATGCCAGCCGATGCCCGCCATCCCTTTTCCCTGGTAAGGCTGTAGTACCTGGTGTCCGTAATAACCGTTTTATATGCAAGTTCCGTAAAACGCCTGGCCCGCTTGTGACAACAGTGCCCTTCGCTTCAACCGACCACCCCCGGAAGAAAAAAATCGCCTCAACCTCTTGCTGCACAACACGGGGGGTATCGCATTTAAAGCAAAGAACAAAGGGAATAGACAGAAAATAGAAAATCTAGGCAACGATCGTTTCATGAATGTTTCTTACACGACAACAGCTTCTTCGCCGTTGCCACCACCGAGGAGCTCGAGGACCTTGTTAACCACGGCGCTAGGGTATCCTCTCGAAAGCATCTCGCCTACTACTGACTTGGCACGCTCGCGGTCTTCTACGGCGAGGAAGGCCCGAGTCATTGCCTCGTACGTACTAGGCTCGCGCTTCTCACGGCCGACGCTGTTGTAGACTGAGGAGGCTTTGTCGATGTTCTTCTCGCCAGCCCAGCCGTGGATGAGAGTGTTCGCGATGTAAGGTGTAAGCTCAACGCGCTTCTGCTTCATTGTGGATAGGAGCGCCTCGGTATCCGCGACTTGGTGGTTCGCAACCATAGCTTCAAACAACGCCTGGAAAAGGCATGCATTGGGGTGAATGCTGGGGTCACTCATAACCGAGTCGAAGATCTTCCTGGCACCCTGCATGTCGTGGAGGACACAGCCGCGAGCATGAATGAGTGAAGCGTAGTGTACCGGCTCGGGCTTCTGGCCAGAAGCACGAATCATGTCCAAGACAACTTCAGCGGCGGTCATGTTCACAGGTTCGAGAGTAGCGTGAGTGTCAACAAGAAGCTTATATGTGTGAGCAGTTGGCGCAATTCCCTTGGCTTGCATTCGGTCGTAGTATGCAAGGACCTTGGTCTTGTCGCGTTTAGTGGTGAGGAAGAACTGCATCATACTGTTGTACGGGGCTGGACGAGCCTTGTAGTTGGGCATTGACTCCATCTCATCAAAAAGCTCCTCGGCAAACTTCTCGTCGCTAACACGGCACAGAGCGTTGACAATCGTTCCATAAGTGACACTGGTTGGCTTGATACCGAGGGCACGCATTTCAGCGAAGTAGAAGAGGCAGTCATCAATGCGGCGGGCCTTGCCAAGCTTACCAATTAGGGCATTATACAGGAAGGATGAAGGCTCGACACCCTCAGCCTTAGCCCGGTGGAAAATCTTGACAGCTTCCGAGGCTTCGTCGAAGGTCTTGGTAGATTCCTTGAGGGTAGTAATATAGAGACCAAATGTATTTGCCGAGGGAGCAGCTCCCATCTCAAGAAGCTCAAGATGGTACTGCTCTGCCAGGACACGGTCGCCAAGGGTCAAGCAAGCTCCAACCATAGCATCGAGAATAGAAGACCAACCGTAACGGACGACAGAGTATTGAGGAAGGAAAGGCACATCGGTTCGTGCCGTAGCTAGAACTTCGTGACACAGGTCCATCTTGCCGTCTCGCGCCGCAGCAGAGATCATCTTGGCGTAGGTGATGTATCTGGGGTGACGTCCTGCACGTCGCATGTTGCGGAAACGCGTTAGCGCCTCATGGAGCCGGGGTCCCTTGCGTCCGTGTGCACCCTCAAGTTCATCAGAGATAATGGATGAACCCTTGAAATCGGTGTTGTGCGCGTACGGGTCGAAGTTATCCTCATAGCTTGAGACAGTGGGGGTTGAAGGGTAAGGCGATGCAGTGAAGACCTGTTGCTCAAAGCTGACTGGAGTAGCGATTTCACGAGGATCCACAACCCCACGGGTAGCCATGAACCTAGATATGAATTCGGCGCCTTCTTCCAGTTCATCAGCGAGGTTCGGTCTTGCGTCGGTTTCGGCAGCTCGAATTCGTTGGAACATCATCTCGGACTGGGCTAACCCTTCAGCAACCTGACCAGAACCAATCATCGCGACCGCATACATGGCTGCCGGCTCGATGAAAGATGAATCAACCTTGATCTCAGGGCTACTGAGGATGTGCCAATATCGAGCGGCAGCTGGGACATCACCATGACGAACACTAAGGGCAAGCAAGGCCATCGCCGGAGTTGCAATACCCTGGAACATTGTAGGGATGCGGGCAAATGCAGCGGTTGCGGTATGTCGGTCGCCAAAATCGGCAGCAGCAGTAGCAATATCCGCCAGAGCGCTTAAGCGAGCCTCATTCTCAATAGCCTGTGCCCATTGAAGCGCTTCGTGGTAGATTCCCCTTGCAGTAAATCCTTTTACGAATCCACCGCTAATGATGGCGTCCTGAATTTCGGCAGCACCAACTCCATACGACTTGACAATCTTCTCGTAAAAGTTCATAGCACCGTTAAGCTTGTCGTTGATGACGTATGCGTTGATTACCGAAGCGTAGACTTGCGAATCCAACCGATCAATCAGGGTGTATTTGCCGTTATCATGAGCGACGGCAAGATCCTTGTACTCATTGTAGCACTCAACAGCACTGGCTAAATCACCAGTGTTGGCAAATGCAGTGATCATAGAAGGGAAGGTAGCCGCAAAGGGGACAGAACCACTCAACTCCATATGCTCAAATAGGTGCAGCATATCAGAGACTCGGCCCGCCTGAGCGCACGCCGAGATGAGTTGATGATAGGTTTCCGATGAGTAGTTGGCCCTGTTGGTTAACACAGAGGTCTCAAAAAGCTTGACGGCAAGGTCGAGCCTGTCGTCTTCCGACAGAATGGCGTGTTCCAGCTCATTCGACGCGAACATGAACTTCCCGGGCTCATCCATACCACCAAAACGGAGACGCTTATCCTCCAAGCCCTTCTTGAGAGTGGACACCTCCATACATCGAGCAGCTAATAAGCCAACTAGAATGTTGTACGTGTCGCTATCTGGAGTGACCTTCCGTCGCATCATGTCAGCATAGACATCCAAGGCCTTGGAGACAACCTCGATCTTCTCGGTAGGGATGTGGATAGCGGCGACCAGCAGGGCATTGTAGGACGCGGCTGTAGGTTTGATGTCGGCAACAAGCATGGCCTCGAAGACAGCAGGAATCTCAGCATATCGACCATCTTCAGAAAGCTTCGTTAGATGGTCGGCGTAGCTCTTGGACTGGGGATCAACCGGCGGTGTTACTGTGCGAGAGATACCAGGTGTCGCTGGCCTTTCGAGAACGGGGGACCTAGCTCGGGACTGAACGCCGCTCACGATAGAAGGGGTCGATGCTCTTAGAGAACACGCGGGGCTCTCTAAAGCTTCTCGGAATTCGCGAGCTTCGATCTCCTTCTCGATAGCGGCGTCGATATGCGCCAATGCAACATCTATGTCAACGGGAACCGGTAGATCCTCGCCGGCATTCTGACTAGTTTCAGCGGCCTCTAGAACATCGACATCGAGCGCATTGGACTCGGGATCCTCGAGGACAGCCGAAGCATTCGGCTTCCACTCGATGGGTTTAGGAAACTGAAATTGAGTCCACTCTTTCTCGATGTCGCCATTGTCCTGCTGCTTCCTCAATGCCTCAAAGTAGGCATCCAGGTTTCCATGGCTCCCATCTTTCTCGTGGCGAAGCTCATGTCGGGCATTCGGATTCGAGCTATGGAAGGCATTTTGAAGCTGGAGACTAGTGAGGCGTCCGACGCGCTGACTGTTACGTCGAGCAAACGACGGACGGTTCTGCGAGTTTAGAACATGGGGATGTGTAGCAGCTACGACAGATTGCGCGTAGCCGTGGGTGAAAGATTTCGCAAATCCTTGACGGATGAAATTTTGGTACAGGGACGAATAAATGGTGGGCATTTAGATGACACCAGGAGGGGAGGGGGACTAGAGAAGACAGAAGGAAATCTAGTTAGTATAATTCTAATAGGTTTCTTACATTTGAAGAAAAGTAGAAAGGCGATCTAAAAAAGAGTGTTCTGTGCGCGCGTAACCTAATCTCGGTAGGCTATCTCAAGTACCTAAGGTACGAAATATTTTTCTTCTTCTTTCGCCGCCGCGACAGAGCTAGCAAAGAACATAACCAAATCGATGACGACTTACATAGAGAAAGGATAAAATCGGTAGTTGCAGGTTCATTTGACAGCACTGTAGCCGTCAAACAAACGCGCCAATTTTATAAATAAGAAACGATTTGAATTGGTTGAAAAGAAGTGAACAGAGAGAGAAGAGAAGAATCTCATGAAAAATGAATGGGTTGGTGTGGATGGGATTTGGTGGATGATATTGGAATTCTGCGATAATAAAATTTGGGAGATGGTAAATTTTTTTTTGGCTTTGCACCTAAACTTTACACAGTTGCAGGGGACTAGGGTGTCTAGGGTAGGAGTCTAGGGACCTAGAAGGAAAGGTCCAGGGTGTGCTGCGCGCATTAGCCCTATGCTAACGTCTTCTCCGGTTCTTTCTATTGCTGATAACTTCCAGTCGGCCTTTTGGGGTTACATTTCTATAGACTTCCAATTAACACAGTGGAGCCCGGGGCTAAGAAGGAAGGATCCGGGAAGCCAGTTACTGCTCAATGTTCACTATGGCAGACTCTAGGTTACATAGGTAGTATACAGATACGTATAGCTATACAGTATGCGAACTACATATCTAAACAATTCGCCTAATGCAGCCTCGACCACTAGCTTTAGGTATGCCCCTCACCCCTCTATAATTTTATTTGGATTTCATGGTTTGGTGTAACTCGACCAGTGCATTTTTAAATCAGACACTACAGCCCGAGATAGGTCGGAGACATTGAAAATACGTATTATCAAGAAAGAATAGGGCATAAGCTACTATTATGCTCAGGCTCAAAATAGTAGCAAGTAACACAACTTCAATACATCAGATTACGACATACAGATGTAGCTCAACATGAAAAACACCAACACATGCACGTCCGGACGGCTACAGGTTAATTTGCTGCAAGTAAACGCCTTGTGACGAAGGTAACCTACCTGAGCTCCCAGGCAGCCAGATAACCCCCGGCCGAACAATAAACAGACTAATCAGATCTCGAATTCGTCATTCATTTTCAAGGCAATCCTAAATATACATACATGTAGATTGCGTACTGCCTTGTAGCAGATCAGCTAGAGGCCAGATTGTCTCTAGCCGTCTAATACAATGACGAAGCTACGTTATTGCCTGGAAATCATGGATGCCAGGCTACAGCTGAGAATAGCATAGAGGGCAGATTAGCGTACGGCATGTTCGGAAGCAATTTTTTCTTTCGCTCAAGTTAAAAGAGCAGACCGGGAAAATTAGGACGCGTGTAGGACCCCGGCCCTGGAGATCAGAGCCGTGATTCGTTCACGCGTGGCCGACATGCCCAATGAGGCAACGCCACTATCCTTGAGCGTGGGTAAAGCCGGAATCTCGATCCCAGTCTGTCGGGATCCGAAGAAGGCTTATGCCCCGTGCCCTCAGGTGCATCATCACCTACAGCTACGGCACTCGCTACGCACCGCGAACGCATGAAGCTATTACGGAGGGGGTAGTTCATGATATCGAGCTTAGTTCCCCGGATTTATTCTGTAAGGGGCCGGCAATGAAACTTGGCGGTGGCAAGAAATATCATTCCCTCGACGTCTGTTTGTCTAGTTATTACCGATATTATAATGATGACCGAAGTCGCAAGCTGAGAGAAAAATCCCAGCTTGTATGAATTAGTGTCACGACGTAACGGCAATCTTGTCGAGATTTATGCCCACGACAAGTCAAGCTAATAAGCCGCGGATCTTAATAGGAGGATCAGAAAGAAACAAGAAAAATATGTAAAGGAATAAACACTCCAGAGCGTCCCATTAATTCCACCAATTACATAGTATTCTTATTTTATCACTCTCCGGTCAACTTTAACTCACCGAAGCTCAAGCACACGCGACGCGATACCTAACCTAAGCTGTTACCAATCCAAGTTACTTGATGTCTCGAAGTTACCCATGGATTATGTATTAGTAACAATTTTTTAAACAACCGACATCCATTCATCCATCCGTCCATTCAGCCGCGTCGAGGCCCTAAGTGGGCAGGTGGGGGAGAAACAACCTTGGGTCCTTGAAAATCAAAAAGGATTGCCATGTGCGAAGATGCAGAAAAACGGTTCACGGGACCCAACTCTCAACTCCATTCTCTAAGCTTCCCTGCTACATACGAAAATGCTCCGCGACGCTTCCTCGCTTGCCCTACGTATGGACCCTTGCAAACACCGATTCTCATCATCCGAGCCCCGAACCCTATCCCCGTCCCGCCGTCGGCCTCGATAGTTTCCCCGTTGTCCATCTATTTTCGCCGCTTACGTAAATTCCCGAATCCTTTTCTCTTTCGTGGCTCTCCGACGTCAGACGGACTCCCTTATTGCTCGTATTCATATGTAATTTCCTACCTGAAACGCTTGGAAGTCTTTGCAAAGTAATCTTCTCGATCTTCTAGCCTCATCTTAGTGCGCATGTGTGTATTGTCTATACACAAATAGCCTACGACGATCACTCCTAGTCGAAAAGCATTGCCTTATTTACTAACGTCACCCACGCCTATGTGTAAGCAATTTGCATGACTCATATGCAGGACTCTGCTGCACTGCAACCGAGACGTGATGGTTTAACCCTCCGTAGTGTTTCCGTTCGATTGCTCATGTAGGCGGACCCATACGTCGTCAATCGTCGATGGTGCACATATCTGAACAAAGCATGAGCACACGCTGTGGGCGCCGCCGACTCGTAAGGGTTTCAGGATCTTCTCGTCATTGACAATCGCTGCTGGTTCAAACCAAGTTTCATTCAACCTGCATGTCCTTAAACCTCGCTCTTCTATTCTATTCAAGATATTATTGCATTATACCAGAGGTGAGTCCATTCGTTTCTGATGAAAACAATTATCTCGGAGTTCATACACCTGGGCTAAAATATTTGCACTGGCTTAATTGCTTCCCCTCTAAATATTGTATCTAGATTGTTAAAGGAGAGAAAGACGTTGATAGTTATATTCGTTCTTAATCGTAGCAGTTTATACCAATAACATAGTTAAATAAGAACATCACCAAAAGAGAAGAGTATCGATCATGAAGGCTGGCACAGTAGGGTCTCATACGTATAATTAAATGACAGATCTTGCCAAGATCATTCCTACTAAGTATATACATCGGGGGTAGGCATTAATTTAAAATGGTAGGATAACTTATGGACCGAGGAGAAATATCATTTCTGAATATAGTAGTATGCCATAAATTTTGTTGACGATGACAAACCTCCTGCTTCATTACGAATATCCCAGGACCAATAGACCCTTCTTGTAATTTGAGAATCTCGTGGACTATTCAGTTAATATTTCCCACGACCGGCTTTAACCCACGAACCTCCAAGTATATAGTAACGACCTCACTTCTTCGAAAAGAAGGACATGATGTTGCCCTGTCCCTGGCCCTTGCCTGCCGCCTTCTTGGGCTTCGCAGCGGGTTCTGCCTTGACTGGCTGAGGCTTTTGTTTGGGCGGCGGCGGAGCTTCATCCTCGGAAAATGATTCCCAACCCTGTTCCTGTATCGTAACCAAATATCCCTTATCATCCATGACCTGCTTCTTGCGCGTGACTCGTCGTCTTCCCCTACGTTTACCATCGCCTGTGCTCGATACTACTTCCGCGGGCTCTTCTGCCTTAGGTTCCGGTTCGGGTGAAGGCTCCTCCTCGTCCTCCTCCATGGGTTCCTCAGCAGGACTCTCTGCTTTCTCTTCTTCCTCTTCTTCACTCTCATCCATCATACGACGAAGTTCGGCTTGGCGATTCTTCCTCAATTGTCTAGCACTCTCTGACTCTTGCTTGACCTCCGGCATCGGCACGACGTCGTCCTCTCCATCATCAGACAAGGCCATCTTTTGGTCCTCCTCGGCGGCGCTCGCTGCAGCCTTAGCGGCAGGTTTCTTCGGCTTGGCAGCTGCTTTGGCAAACATTTGCCCAATTCCAGAAGAACTCTGTCGCTTCAGTGAAGCAGCAGCAGCAGACTTCTTAGTAGCAGTAGTAGCCGAAGTTGATCCTTTAACATTGGCTTGAGGTGCTACCTTAGGCTCCTCCTTAATATCGGTAGGCTCTGTCTCCTGGTTGCTTTCGGCCTTTGGTGCAGCTTTAAGGGTGGGTGTACTCGTAATAGGCTTAGGTGCTGGCCCACGACGTTCCCTCCTACGCACATTAGGATTGGCAATTGAACCGAAGACTTTGCTCGAAGCTGGAACATCGCCCGCTGTAGACAGCTCTAGTACTTGTCGAGCAGTATCGGCCAAGAGCTGAAGATCTTTTAGGGGATGAGGCGCCAAGCTGTAGATGTGTATCGAGGTAACCTCATCATACTCTGCCAGTAGATCTACCTCTTGTTAGCTAGACCAACATTAAAATCGAAGCATATCTACTAACCTTGCAGTTGTTCCTCTTTAACTATAGAGAGCGTATAAGTAGGGACTTCATCTGAGAGGGGAACATGCATCTCTTCCGCATCTTGAGAATCGGTCATCTTCACATCGCCGTCCGATTCTTCTACTTTTACCGTCGCCTTCTTAGTACCATATACGAGGTATGTGGCATGAAGAGATCCAGGACGTTTATCGTTCTGCCATTTATGAAAATCATAGAGCATCCTATAAAAAAAACCGTTAGCGCTCTTTAATTTCCTTCCATTGTGTAGGAAATACTTACTCTTTAGCAGTATTGACATGAACCTTCAATGCCCGGCTCAGAAGGCGATAAGTCACCTTTAAAAATAGGTGCGTTAATAAGATGTTGTGAGTTCTGGTTATATGATGTATTTATAACTTACGACTTGATCCTCGGTGAGGAGCTTCTGGGCTAGATACTGCTTATAGGGTTCCATATTGCCCGTAAATTTCACGAATAATCAAATAGTCTAGCTTGCAGTATAAGCGGACAAGATACAGTATATTTCGTTCTTTATCATTTGGAGACAATTGAAGTAATTCTTAAGGTGAGAAAGATTGGCATATCACTTTAAAGCTGGAAATCGCGTCTGAAAAAGAAAGACGCGTTAAGTGGTAGTGGGGCTAGGGGACTCACAGGTACATATGTACAAGCCTATGTACAGGGCAACCGCCAATAAACAGGGGTTCAAATTTCAGGTGGTAAGCGCGTCGCTAAGAAGAGCAGTCGCGATTTCAATTCTGTCAATGATCTCATCGCATATGCGAGCCTCGACTTCTACGCCGACTTTCCTCATCTCAACTCCTTAGTTCCCGTTTAAACACATAAATAACTGTCCGTATACGTCTTCGCTTATGAATATTCGAATTTTGTAAAGAATTGAGATCGTCAACGAGCCACCATATCCTATTAGCCCGGCCTATCTAACTAACCGTTGGCGATGAATAACAATGCCATTCTCGAACCCTTTGAAGATGTTTCAGACTCGACGGACTGGCTGTCAACACCCCTCTCTGGGCTCGCCGCTGTCGAGGCGGCACTACGCTGTCAGGTCTGTAAAGACTTTTACAAGACACCGATGCTGACATCCTGTAACCACACATTTTGTTCGATATGTATTCGCCGAGCGCTCTCTAACGACGGGAAATGCCCTTTGTGTCGTACTTCCGAGCAAGAGATGAAACTACGAAGCAATTGGTCCATGGAGGAGGTTGTTTTGGCATTTACGAAGACACGTGCTGATGTCCTACTTTTCGCAAAGAGGCCACAGGATAATACAGCTGAGCCGGGGAAGAGGAAGCTAGGAGAGATAGAGGACTCGGATTCTGCAGGACAAATATCAGGAAAGAGACTGCGATCTTCAACGAGGTTAAGCAAGTCGAGAAGTATGGAAATGACATCCGAGATGGCACGTCTAGAAGCCGACGTGCCCTACCAAGACCCCACAGACTTCGAGCCAGACGACGGCCTAGTCGCATGTCCCATCTGCTTGCTGCGCATGAAACCGCTCCAAGTCGACAGACACCTCGATACGTCATGTCCAGGCGAGCCACAACCACAAAGAACACCCTCGAAGCCTCTATCACGATCTACAAACATACCAAACGCCTTCTCCTCCTCCTCCTCCTCCTCGCCTAAAAAGGCACCAACCAGAAATTTCGAGCGCTTGCCCGCAGTAAACTATTCCATGCTTAAAGAACCCCAACTACGGAAAAAACTACAAGAACAAGGACTATCGGCAGCCGGGGGTCGGCAGATGCTAGAGAAAAGACATAAAGAGTGGACGACAATATGGAACGCAAACTGCGACTCGCAATACCCGCGGCGGAAAGGGGATTTACTACACGATCTCGACGTATGGGAGCGCACGGTAGGCAGCCGTGCGCCGACAAATTCGAGAACACTCAGCTTAGGCGCGCAGATCAAGGACAAGGATTTCGACGGCGCGGCGTGGGCTTCTAAGCACGATAGCTCGTTCAAGGATCTGATAGCCAACGCTAGGCGGAACAAGGTATTGATGGGGCGAAAGAGCAGTGAAGACGAGAAGGTGAGAGGCGGAATGCAGAGCAAAGATGGAAATAAGGGGGGTGAGCCAACTCCAAAGCCGGATTCGGAGATGATAGCATCGTTAGAACACTCAGAGCCACAAGAACAAGTCGATTCTGTCACACAAGCGACCGGGATAATCGATTTAACAGGCGAAATCGCATCTTCAAATGCCTCAGTTGCAGCGCTTTCAGACGGGGGAGAAGGAGGGGTTAATCTAGACGCGTCGCCTAGAACGACGGCGATATCATGATATAATTGCTAATATTATATTACCTCGAACGTTCAAGGGAAAGATCTATCATATCAGGTGTTCGCGTAGCGAGTAAATATTATACGGGTTGCTGCCTCTTCTGGCTTGCTATTGCTTCATATTTGCATGTTTCCCAGCTCATTAGCCGTAGCCGTAACAGGCGTAAGAGGCTTCGAAGCCTTCTCTCCTTCTTGTCCCGGCACAGGCAAGGGACCCAGTTTCTCCAGTTCGGCGAGCTTGCGTCTCGTCTCCTCGGCCTCCTTCTGTTCCTGTGCTTCGCGCTTGATCCTCTCGGCTTCTTCGTCTTTCTTCCGCTCTTCCGCCAGCATGGCCTCGAATTCGTCGTCGACTTCTGCTTCGTCGACGGTGGCTCCGGGGCCGGCCTCGGCGATGATATTGCCTACCTCGTCTACTTCGCCCATCTGTTCCCGGAGATTCTCCAGTACCTCGTCGACTTTGTCGGCACCGCCGACTTGCGCGTTTAGGCTGCGCAGGGCTACTGTGCTCGACTGCATCACCCTCACTAGCTGAACATTGTCGGCAGCCTGCTCGATCTTCGCCGCCACATCTTCCAATTGGCTAAGCGTATCATGCCGTCGCGACAGGTTTGTCTCAGCTAACTTCTTCGACTTAAGGGCCGCAAGCGCAGCGATCTTGTTCTTTCTCCGGACAGCGTCCTGGGCAGCGACGTTTAACTCGTCGACGCGCCGGCTCAGCACCTCGGTCTGTCGCGTCAGGTCCTCCATAAGTTCCTTCAGGGACGCAATCGCCGAGTCCTCATGAGTGATGATCACATCCTCACTACCGCTCCGGATCTTAACTGTGTTTCCATCAGTAGCTAGCATATTCTTGTCTCTCGAAAGAAACGTCACTAGCACTTCCAGATCTATCTCCGATAGCCGCTGCTGTTTCTCGAGCAGGCCCTCCGCAAACGTCCGTTGGAAATGTGTTTTTGAAAAAGTCCGCTCGAAAGGCGACGTGCGGTCTGCGGTCGCTTCGCCAAATGTCTTTGATACCACTTCCAGGTTATGCAATATAACAAATTGGCCTTTGGGCAAGTTATCGCCCGGCCCACCGATCCCGACCTGTCGAAGTCCCCACGATATAACCGACCACGGAAGACTACTCCACGATCGATGGTATATGCTCTCCTTCGCCTTGAGGAACTGTTGCAGCGGCATCATCTCCCCGCTCGCCAGGGCCTCCTGCAACACGGTACCTAGAGCGAGCGGTCGCCCGAATTGCTTGCTTTCGAGAGAGCGTAAGAGGGCATCGCTTTCGAGATCGAGGGTTAGGTGGTTATGCGTCGCGGATTTGGAGGGAGCGTGGCCGGCTAAGGCCGCGGAGGAGAGACCGCGCTTCCATGCTGCAACGTTGGCGGCGAAGCCATCCGGGTTGAGGGTTCGCTGTGATCGGAAGTCGGAATAGAGGGCTGGGAGGCGGGCTCTATTATATAAGTTAGAATAAGTTTGCTTCAAATACTTTCGTTAGTAAGATGAGTAGAAGGTGAGCTTACCTCCGGAAATTCTCGTCGTTCTGTACTAGATAGTTTAAAAGTTCACTCATGATGATAACGAGGTCAGATTAGATAGGGAAATCCCCGAGATATGGCAATCTACTGATGACGTGTACTGTCCTCCAAGTTACAGGTGGTATGTTTGTAATTTTAGGTACCTAAAGCATTGGAATCGTCGGACAGGTAGAAAAAGGTTGTATATCGAATGCTTAAGCTATGGGCATTCAAATGTCGGTGAATGCCTACATACAGAAGCGCATAGCCTGCAGGGGTGTTCCGACAGGCAACGACGAGCGACTTTGTCTCTCGATATGGGATTTCAATGGTCAATGGTGGATTGAAAGCCTGAGGCGCACTAAGACGTACCGTGTTTATCGGTAGCTATAATGCTTATCAGCGCGACGTCACTACCGCTGTAGTGCTGATAAGCCTTGTGGGTACTTCCAAGCCGCCTCTAACCTTATTAAAAAGCTTATTAGTACTTCTATACACTTCACTTCGCTTCGCTATCCTATGATTCATGTTATTTTTTATATTCTAGACATGCAGAAGCGAAACTTGTCCTAATTCCCTTACGCACTTGGCCACGTCGACATTGTATACTTTCCCGGTCTAAAGGAGATGCTATATACTACGATAGTAAGACCAGTCTATCTGAGGGATACTATATATCAGTCTAATAATATCCTTCACTAGATAGGCGTCTGCTTATCGTGATAAAATATGGGTGCTTGCATTGATTTCGATACAAGATATTTGTTCCGACACCACCTCATAAGGGTGAGACTCGACGATTTATTATTTATAGCCCAGGTAATATATAGTAATACGAGGGACATCTGTTTGATATTCCCGTCTTACTTCTTGGCTTGCTGTTCCTGTGAACTCGTTGAAGGTGTAAGAATAAGATGATGTGGAATCAATAAACCTCAGAAACGGGGCATGCCCCGTCTTAAGGAAATATTGAAGAGGGATTCGTGTTACCTATTCCCTTGCTTGAGGCTGAGCTAGCTACACTAGATTTAGATATTACGGGAATTATGCAGCAGATCATCGCGAGAATCGCACCATATCCAGCACGCCGGGGAAATAAAAGGTTTTGGGGGATTCACTAACCTTGAAGACATCATGATTTATGGAAAAATACGCGTGTTCTTTTAGAGCCACATTGGGGTATATGGTATCTTTCTTTATGCCTGCATCTTCCCTGCTTCCTCCATACCAGATCTTTATGCCGAGTTTACAGCTAGGTTTGGCTTCCTTCGTTTGTAGTGAGACGAGCTCTGCAGATCGCTTCCATTCCCATCTTTCAGCTTTGCGAGGCAGCAAGTAGGATTCGTGCTAGCACGGGCCACAACATAGAGCTCTACGTATATGTTAATGTCTTAGTAATGCTATATTGCTGTATGTGGTTACAATTTGCAAATCAAGATGGAATAGTATATAGGTCGAATATGTAGATATATCCGGGCGGATTTGCTATGTTCGTTTTGAATCAACATACTTTTCATCTAAGCTAATTATAAATTCCACGTAAAGAACTTAAAACTCGGGCTTATATCGGCGTCGCCGGTGACCTGGGCCTTGTCAGAAATCCATTCACCTACTCCCCCAGACCCCAGATACCTAATATAAGTTTAAGCTTGTTCGAGTATAGCACTGGCGTCTTCCTTCACTCACTACGCGTAAAGATCAATGTACCTAGCCCTCTCGCGTAATGAGGACCGCTGATAAACTCTAGGAAGATCTGCTTACTTATAAATCTAGGGATTGTCTATCTCCCGAGATATAAGTAGACTTATCATAAAAACCTTTAAATATAATTGGTTAAAGCTATTTATATAATTCCTTGAAGAGCGTATACCTATTTCACTTGGCATTCTAACTAAAGAATCGTCGTGCGTGTTTCGACGCGTTTCTAGAGATATATGCTGTCAAGCAAAAGTCCCCGGCATAAATCCATCATAACCGGCCCATCGATCCAAAGCACGGTTGATTTAAAGTTATAATTGCTAACCCCGTATAGGTAACTCCCATGTATTCCTCAAAGATCCATTTTTCTCATCCCACTCGCCGCGTGGCCTATCATCACTGCGCATTGCATGGGATCATGCTGAATTCGGTACCGATAGGTCAAGCTGGCGCCGGCGGCTGTCACCGTTTCATATTTCCCCTCATAGAACAGCCGAGCTTTTAGGAATACTCGAATAGTGCATGCTTTTCTGGGGATACTCTAATATTATCTAGGAGAGAACTGGGTTCAGGAGTTGACTCCTTTGGTGTTACCGCTAGTTATAGTAAGCAGGACTTGTGTAAGCTTACGTTATCACTTATGCGCATTGCCATGTTGAGGCTCCGATACGGTACAGTACTCAGGCTACGTGATATCACTTTGGTACACTGTATTGATTCATGCGGAGGCTCATGCTCGTGCTCATACGGACAAATGTTATTACTTCTAAGATACCTAATATATTCACTAAAATCACTTTAATTGACGGTACCTAACCCCTTTTATAACTAATTACATGCCGTCGGTGTAAGGAACGATACCAAGCGGTATTGGATTTAAGGAATAACTCGTGAACCTTAACCCGGGAGTGCTACTGGGTAGATAGCTCATCACTTGCCAAACACATCGCGACAATCTCTCCGTTAGCACCGGGTTTATATATTGCTATAGTCCGGGTTAAGAATAATAGGCCGTAGCTTGTAGTTTATAAAGCGAAGAAGTTTCCTCTCCCTTCGGTTTGCATATTCGGCACCCTCTCTTGATTATTAAACGCTTTCCCTTCTCTATTCATAGACCATCCTGTTTCAAATTGTTCAGTGTCAGGTAGTAATCATGGCCTTCAAGTTCACCAAGCCCAAGGAGAAGTTGACCTGGTTCATCACGGGATGTTCTTCCGGGTTTGGTCTCTCCCTTACACGTATAGTTCTGGATAAAGGTCACACTGTCATTGCTACTTCACGAAACCCTTCACGCACACCTGAGCTCGTGGCTGAGGTCGAGAGCAAAGGGGGTAGATGGCTAAAGTTGGACGTAAACGACCGCAACAGCCCGGAAGTCATTGAAGATCTTGAGAGGTCGGGAGTAGAGATCGATGTCCTAGTGAACAATGCCGGTTATTCGATACTAACGCCCGTCGAGCTCGCAACCGAAGATGAAATCCGTGGCCAGATGGAGTCCATGTACTTCGGTCCTTTACGCTTAATCCGAGCCGTCGTTCCGCACCTGCGCAAGAGGCGGTATGGTGTCATCGTGAACATTAGTAGCGGAGCCTCACTTGAAGGCAAAGATACGATGGGCCCCTATGCCGGAGCTAAAGCTGGCCTCGATGGTATGCGGCTTCCAGATTATTGATCGACTGATGTTTTCGAATACTAATATAACCTATCCGTCCCTAGGTGTAACTAGGGTCCTCGCACAAGAGGTTGCACCGTACAACATTCGAACTCTAACAGTCGTTCCGGGCGCATTCAACACAAATATAGCCAACGTAACCACCCCCGGCAAGAACCCGCTTCCGGACGACTATAAGGGCTCTGTTTCCGACTTTATGTTGCAAGTTCTCTCCGGTGCAGACCTGCCTGGCATACAATTTTCCTTAGGCGATAAAGATAAGGGAATGAAGGCTGTCTACGAGGTAGTAGTTGGAGAGGGCATTGGAGCTGGGCGCGAATCCGAGCCATTGCTCCTTCTAGGCTCTGATATGACGGCTCGAGCGAAGGCTGTGCAACAATACTTGGGACGCGCTTTGGAGGCGTTCAAGGACGTTACTAACTACGTTGACGTTGCATGAGATCTAGTCTGTTGTTAGAACACATATGTAGTTGCTATTTCTCGGTCGAAGTAGGGAGTGTGAAGCGATATATACCTGCCTGATATATACATAGCACCTCGCAGGTTATATGTATATGAGATAGTGTATATGAGATAGAAGACTATCAATGCCAAACTTTTACCTATATATATATATATATATATTAGTTAGATATAAGATTGCTTATATGTATTTGATAGTAACATTACGACACAATAAAGCCTTCAAAATAAATCAATGTCTTAGTTCCTAGTTCCTCGAAATAACTAAACCCTAACTAACCTACTAATTGTCCCTAAGCACACAGGCAGCCACTTGCACAAGGCCACTGGAACAATACCGGTGCCTAACTACGCAGCATATAATTGTAAAACAGCAAGATATCCAACATGAAGCAATGAGACTGAAAGCCTGGTGGTATAGTGGCAGTAATTCCCATCATAACGCGCTTTCGAGCAACGGACTTGGATGGGATGTCGGGATTGGAAATGGCGTGGGTTCAAATCCCACCTGAGCCAATATCTTTTTCTCGTTTCTTAGATATTCGCCCTGCTGCACGCTAGGGATATAAGATTACACGTTAATAAGTTTCAAGAAACACCTATGTACCTAGGTACGATAGATAAAGCGACGTGTTGGTGAAGAGGATTTAAGTTTAACTTCAGGTTGAATTACGAGATAGCTTCGTGAGTGACGAACATCAAGAGAGATAAAGACTTAAAACACAGTCCTTTATTTTGAGGATTCCCCTAATCTAAATACGAGTATAGTTACCTACCTGCTAATATTTTGCGGACAAAATCTCAGACCAAACGATTCGGGACGATCCCCTCAAGTGCCAGTATTGCGGGAATAGTGTGTAAATTCCCCCAAAAGTTTTTTACTGGCAATTGCTTCACTCCACCTTCTTTTACATGTCGATCTTCAAGCTTCTATTATGGCCAATTTGTAATAAAGGCTGTCTTGAGCCTATCAGTTGCGTTGGAGAAAGTAAATTTCTACGCTGTCATTACCAAGGTAACTTATTCCCATGCTCCCGTCTGGACTAGCATATGACTCCAACTCTTCTACAGGAGGTATTCATGCATATGCCAGGCGGCTAAATCACCCCTAACTTGCTCAGGCACACCATTACTTTCACTTCTCTAGACGTAGGTTTATAGACTCGCAGTTGGAGTCTTAATCTCATGCATAGGAATAAAACAGCTTTGGGTGTCTTTAAGTGCTTGCCTGCTTTGCTTCCTTCGCTTCCTTGGCTTCGTTTGGTTTACTCGATATGCGTGTGCGGGAATAGAGGTAGTAGTGGGTTGGTGCCAAGATTGTCCAGATCACACGTCCCTTGTTGCTGGACTGCCCCTGTCTACTAGCAAGCAAGCTGCATTTTTCCTAGAAGAGCTAGGTATACTTTCTAGCTGTAGAAGCTACATGAGGACACCATTCCCCTGTTCTCCGTAGCACCATTCTCTCTACTTCACATCACTTGGTCAACAAAAAGGTTCGAGTAATGGGCCATGGTGAAATATAATATCGAAAGCGTCACTAGGAATAGATGTTTCTTGACTATCAACTTGAACGTGGATCGTCCCATTTGACTTGTTTCATTGTTTCTCCGTTGTGCTTTTTACCACGGTGAGAGTATCATTGGAGAATGCATTTCGCTCAGGCTTTTTTCATGCCTTGGACCCGTCCATGCCCCAGTCCTCCCAAAGTAACCATTGCTGATGCCAAGCTTCCGACCTGACCCGATTTGCTCTGACCCTTTCTGCATACATAGGTATAGCTCCTCCCAAACCCCGTGTAACGGTGCTGTGAAGTTCGTGCTCCACCCAACGAAGAGCTGTCATAGCAAAGAGGGGCGAACGATATAAGAAAAAGAGAAAAAAAAAAAAACGCATATCGCCCCTTGGAGGTATCAAAGATTTTCCCAACGTCCGAGCCCGGCAATAGATTGCTGCCCTTTTTTACCTATCATTATGTATGTACAATTATGTCGACATATACCTTTCTTAAATCGTCAAAACCCGCCTCAGAGGAGGCCTTGTGAACTATAAGCGTTCGACCGACTGGGTGGCTCGTACCAATTTTGGTAAGGATGGTTTGGGAGACTAAAATCGGCAAAACTCAATGGATTGACGTGCATTGGTCGCGGCGCCGCTAACTGCTGAGATCCTGACTGCGGAACAGTGGGCATCATTTGATGTTGTGAAGGTGTGGTAGTAGTTAGGCTGGCATGAATCGACTCCATCCGCCGGTAGTGTTCTTCTAGGCCCATCGTCACCTTATTGCCACTGCCAGCTCGAGGTAAGAACTGCGCTACGAGTCCCTTCTGTCCCATATTTTCCCAGCCCCAAGCCTTTTTGAGGCCCTGGATGACACCTGAGAGCTTCCAGCCTGTCTCGTGATCGATTTTCTCTAAGATTGCCACTACTTCCTGCTGTTCGGCGAGGTCGGTCAAGATCTCTGCGACAATAGCTAGGGAACGAATCGAAACGCTAGCGACCCCGCGGTCTTTGGTGTGCGCTACGATACCACAGACTTGATGAGCATGATGTTGCTGGACCCCACGCGCTTCTTCGGAATTTTTGGGCAGAATTGGGTTTATCTGCGCAAGCAAGCATTGTGCTGTATGGTAATAAAGCCTGCCAACAATAGCGGCACGTTTGATGAGCCTAGAAAGTTGTTAGCCACCTCGCTCTAAGTCTATACCGGTAATGACGAATGTGGCCGGTATCTAAGAATAGGATCGACATACCAGACGTTAGGAAACAGCGAATTATTTGCGCCAGTTTGCTGAGAAGGATATAAGTATCCAAACGGGTGCATAGGACGAGGACACGAGTTGTTCCAGTCGTCGCACATGTTCTTGAGGCGCTGCCACTCTGCGTACCTGGCCTGTAACCGAACTTGTTCGTCGTGAGGGCTGGGCTCTTGAAATTTGGGGATGCTGGCACGGAAGTTGGCAATCTTGGCTACGATATAGAAGATTCGGTGCACCCAAACCTCTTCGTTCCCGGTGTCCTTCTCCGTGTTGAAGTCCATATCGAGACCCCATTTTTCTGGTTCCCATGCCGTCTGCCAGTTGAATGCTAGACATGAGAGAAGCTCCATGCCCACGTTTAACCAAAAACACGCTGCGCCAAGACCCTTACTTTTGGCATTCCAGCCGCATTCGCGAATGAGAGCCCGCGCACCCGCTATGTGGCTCATCCGCTTGGTCGGCTTGTCACTCATGATTTCGTACACGTTGAGCACTACGGCGGTAGTTGCACATTCGGCAGTGTCACGCTCGGGATTCTGCAAGCTGCGCAGGAGTTGGGTCGTCGCTGTATCGTAATAGAAGAGTGCCTTATCATCGCCATATTGCTGTGTCAGAGTTAGATGCTTCACTCCGCATGCGAGGAGCGCATTCAGTAGCATGGGGCACTTGAGCGCATGATAAGGGATTTGGCGCGAGAAATGCTTCTCCTTATCAAGGCTGTCCATCCAAATGCCCACTTCGGAGACGAATACCTGCATAAACCGCAACTCTTCGGGCGAATTGAGATACTCTCGTTCCCCCGACTTTTCGCTTGAAGGAGTCATAATGCCTACGTCAGCATCCGGTTCCACGTTGCTATCTCCCGAGCCTCCCCTGAAGGTCGACGGTGGCCCAACGCCAGTAAATCCCGCCACAGAGGCTGCTGTCGAGACATCATCGCTTCGGTACCCATTGTGTGATGCAGAGCGGTTGCTTTCAATTTTGGCAGGGCCGAAAGTATCTGGCATCATGTTGCTATACCCGGCTGAGCGCCCGTGACCTGGAGGTGCCATGAAAGAAGCTTCACTACTCTTCCGTGAATGTAAATGGTTACCAGTTACAAGATCCAGATGTGTCTGACTGCGGTCACTATAATAGTTATGCGGCGGAGACACTACAGTCGTAGATCTACTCTCCGCCTTAACTTGAGGATCTAAACTTCCAACGGCACCCGGCTGAAGTTGAGATGAGGTTTTAAAATTGGATTCTCGCGGAGGGGAGAGGGGTCGACTGTCAAGATTGGCATATCTTCCCAGCCCTCCTTTATATTCCGACGCGATAAGGCGCGACTCGTCTTGGAAATGAACTATACTCAGAATTAGCCTCCTACGGAACCCCTTTCAGAACCCATATAATGAAACGTGAACATACCTGCCCATTCTTCTGTTGTAGGAATATAAGGTGGTTCTTTGCAGGTCATATCGATGAAGTTGAGCCGTACACCTCGTTTACACTCCCTATTGCTTTTCCGGCAATTTAGGCAGTCCGGCGTACCTTCGTCACATTTTAGGTGTCTTTCTCTACATGTTAAGCAGCCCGTCCTCACCCTCCTACTCTTGGCGGGTATCACATCGGAAGATGTCATATTGGAAGCCTTGTCGGGTTTATCTGACATATTCTTTGAGCCGGATGGATCAAAGACGGAGAGCCTTTGACGTTTCGAAGGAGGGAGGTAGAATTGGTCGTTTGAGAAGCCGCCACTAACGGTACACGGCGGCGAGAGCTGCTCGGCATAGTGGTGCATGAATAGCGCAGAAGCGCCGGTTGGGTAGCCCACTACGAGGGTATTCAACGAAGCGACGTCGTATGCCGCCAGGACTACGGTGGACAAAGCCCTCGAATACACGAGGCCGTCTGAGCGGGGGTCCAATAAATGGAAAGAAGAATATTAGATGGGATTCTCCGGCTTGCGGCAGACTTTTAACAAGTGAACGACGGCGAAGCAAGTGGTTGAATACTATCTTCGCGGCTATCAAGCTAGCTTTCACTTTGTTTCCGGCAATTCCGTAGGCAAAAAGCTACCTAGTTGAGAGGTTGTTGGCCGAATATTTTTGAAGCTGGGACTCGATGGTGGGGAAAATAAAGATGTTCGTCTGAACCGGGTGAGAAGGCTCGGTATGGCGCGCTGCATGCGGGCAGCCGTCTATCTCATGGACGGCCTCAGGTACAGGATCTTAGGAGATGCACCAGGTGTCTCGGATTCTGATCGAGACAACACCAGCTGATTGGAAGCTTCCGGTTAGGCGAATCTGTGGTGTACCGTTGCAGAATGGTGCGTGGTGCTAATTTATGATTGGGGCCAGGATCTCGGATCTTTCCCCTACTCTTATCTTTATTCTTTTCTTTTGCCGAGAAGTCTAGAGTTAAGCCAAGTTAATATCTAAAGGAAGGTGAGGCAGAGTTAAAGAGGCCCAAGAGAAAACATCTCCATATAACTAGACGGAGTTAAGATCCAATTACAGGACGATGGTTTATAAGTTGAAACAAGTTGGTGAGGTACCTATGTAAGGAGAGATAGGCTAATACGAAGCTGCTGCTTGTTCTCTAGGTACCTACACGTAACAGTGTGACAGATCTAGGAGGGGGAAGCGCAATGACAAAGAAAGAGCACAGCCTCCGTTCAAGATGGGTTTTGGCTTGCGTGATGGTATAGATAGGTAGGTACCTAGATACTTAGTAGGATGACGACAATGACCTTTGAATAAATAATTAGAGCCTAGC